GCAGGGCACCCCACTCCTGGCATCCGCCGGCACGGCACACCGGTTGGCGTCTCCCACCGTTAGCTGGGGCTGTCCGTGGGACCCCACTGTGCCTCCCCAGGGAGGCACGGCCAGGGCTGTGGGCAGGGAGAAGGGAGCAGCAGGTCTGTTGGACACTGCCAGGCACGGGGCAGCTGTGCCCTCCGCTGCAGCTCCCTACACCGGCTCAGGGGTGTTTTTCCTGGCAGTAGCCGGGGCCTCAGGGAAGGAGAAAGGGGAATCAGGCACTGTGCCCTAGTGGGTGCACAGGCTCCATGCCATGGCTGGGAGGAGGGAAGGGGCACCGCAGCGGTGAGGAGGGAGCACCCTGCTTTGGATGTGTCCCACAGTCCCCCCAGTCCCTGGCTAGCAAGAGGGTCTCACTGCGACTGGTGTGGCTTGTCCCCAGCAGTGGGGCAGCTGTCCTCGAGCAGGCATCACAGGTGGCGGGCACAGAGCCGTCCCCCAGCCTCGCGAGCGGGCAGCAGGGATGCACAAGGACATGCTGCAGTGCCAACAGCTTTTCCTTCCTTCTCCAGACACCAATCCAGCAGCAAAGATGGCTCAGACAAACCCTCTGCCTGTCCCCATGGGCCCGTGGAAGGTACGTCCTTTCATCCCCTCTATCTTGCCTTTCCCTGTGTGCAGGTGGGGGACAGGGAGAAGGGCAAAGCCAATGCTCTGGGGCCAGGAAAGCTGCACAGTAGGCAAGAGAGGCAGGGACGAGCACAGGAAACAGACACCCCTGTTCTCTGCCCATGGGAACGTGCCTCATGCCTGCTCAAATACCCCCCGGGGTGTTTTTCATAAGGCTCTTCACAACACCCTGGCCCAGCCGTGCCCTGCTCTTACCAGCTGTCCCGTGCCAGGCAGGCACAGAGCCCCCGAAAGCCACAGGCTGCTGTTTGCCCTCTCCTGTCCCTGCAGACAGGGTGTGCAGGGGCAGTAGGCACAGTGGAGCAAGGTTAGGAGCAGCCTCGAGGGTTCTGGCAATAGCTCCGAGGCCACAGGTCGTGGAGGGAGCCAAGAGGGAGAGAAGCACGTGCATAAGCAGTGCACACCCCGTGGAAGCCTGGAGCTGTCACGGGAGAGGAGAGCATCAGGCCCCAGAGCCCTTTCCCCCGTTAATCCTCTTTGCCCTAGAGCGTTCGGAGCAGAGGCCGGGAGAACCGCCAGCCACAGCCCTGCCACCCGCCCGTCCCAGAACGGCTCCGCTCCTCTCTCCGGACGGCACCGCTGCCCCGGGAACTGATCTCCTCAGGGGTGAGCAGGAGAGTGGAGCGGGGAGCAGCCTGCAGCTCCCCCGACAGCAGGGCAGGGCGCCGCGGGGCCAGCAGTGCAGGGACACGCAGAGTCGTGGGGGCTGTTTGCCAGCCCAGAGAGGTGCCAGGTGCAGCCTCTGC